ACTGGCATCCTCCACGTGCCCACAGTTGTGCACTCCCCAGCCGTTGTGCCTGCACATCCGCAGGGAGGGCTCGTCCCCACGGCACTGCACGTCGTCCAGGAAGATGCGGCCGGAGCCCGGGCCAAAGTGGGCAGTGCGTGGGGCACCCAGGGCCTCCCCACAGCCCAGTTGCCGACACACCACCTGGGCATCCCGCAGGTCCCACTGGTCATCACACACCGTGCCCCACGTGCTGCCGTCGTACAGCTCCACGCGGCCCTCGCAGCCGTTCCTGCCGCCCCGCAGACGCAGCCTGGCACCTGACACAGGAACATGCCATGGGTCAGGGTCACTCTTGGAAAAGAGATGAGGGTAACTAAGGAGACCAGTGAGTGAGAGTGGACAAGGTTACCTGCTGTGCTCTCCTCTGCTGTGGTAGCTGTTCTCACTGTGGTGATCACCTGTGTTGAGGTGGACGCCTCTGCTGTGGAGAGTGGTAGGGCTGAGGAGGTTGGTAGGGTTGTGGAGGGTGGTAGGGCTGTGGAGGTTGGTAGAGTTGTGAAGGGTGGTGGGGCTGTGCTGGTTGGTAAGGCTGTGGTGGTTGTCTCCGGTGCAGTGGACGTCTCTGTTAGGGAGGTCATTAGTTCAGTGACAATGGACATGGCACTGGACGTGACAAGCAGAGCTGGAGCACTAAGAGAGGACTAAGTAAGAGAGCCAGGAGCTCTGTCCTGCCATTCTGGGAATCTTCCTGGAGTACAATCAGGCCTGTGAAGGAAGTTCAGGCACACTAAAGAGAACAGTGAGTGACAGTGGACAGGGTTACCTGCTCTGGTCTCCTCAGCTGTGGTGGCCAATGTTGCTGTGGTGGTTGTATCAAGCTGGGTGAACATCGGTGGTGAGGAACTAGATGTCACTGTGGTGGTCATCTCTGGTGAAGGGGACATGTCTTCCAGGGAGGTCGTTAGTGGTTTGGTGGTTGATGTCTCTAGGGTTGATGTCTCTAGGGTTGATGTCTCTAGGGTTGATGTCTCTAGGGTTGAGGTCTCTAGGGTTGTCGTCTCTAGGGTTGTCATTGGCACTGTGGTGGTCATCTCTGGGAATGACAGCTCTGCACTGGTGGTCAGTGGCACCATGCTGGTTGGTGGCCCTGATGATGGTGTCTCCATTGTGCTGGCTATTAATGCTGACATGGTTGTCTCCCCTCGGGATGTCATCATCTCTGTTGATGCTGAGGTTGTTGTCTCTGTTAGAGATGCCGTTGTTTCTGGGAATGTTGTAGTTTCAACAACTAGAGGCAACTCGAATGCTGCCTCCAGTGTTGCTGTTGCTGGTGCCACGGTGGTTGTTGATGCTGTATCAGCCTCTTCTGTGAACCCAGAAGAAAAACCACCCCACACGTGAGGACTGTGCTTGTGCAATGGGTGCATCTGTGTGTTACCTACAAGCCCAGTTCCTTAAGGATGAAGTGAAATCAAGGTAAATTACTCTGATGGCATACTCCATCTTTTCTGGGGTCAAGGGATAGAATGGAGGTGGGTAACAACCAGCTCAAAATTTTTCTTGGAAGTGGTATTTCCAGATGATGAAAGCAGGGTAGGGTACTGGTGTGCAAATAAATGGTACTAAAAGAGACTTAAAAAGCACTGGTGTAGGTAGCATTTTCCTCTAGTATAGATTCAACCCACCAGGCTCTTACTCCCTGAGAAAATGTGGAAAACTGCAATATGTACATAAAACAAACTGTTTTATTAGCAAACTGTTGCCATCAGCCATGTCTCAGTTCACGATCATCTCAAGAAAATAAGATACAGATTATCTACATTATCTTAAAAAATAATGGGCAAGTAGAATGACAAAACAACAGGGTGACAGACTATTCAAAATGGATGGATATTTATAAAGGGAACAGGTATTAATGGACCTAAGCTTGAAAAAAACCTTGAAAAATATGGAAACAATGCAAAGTGAATTGTCAGCAATAACAATTTGGGTTGTGACTGTAAAATTACTATTGCCCATAAAGAATCCTTTAAGAGTTCACCTAACCCCATTCCTCCCTGATAAACTGATACCAGATATAACTTTGACTTTAATTTCTACTTGTTTCCTTATTGCCTCTGCCGGATGATTAGATGGAATTAATATTCTGCATATTGCAATATATATCTGGTTCTTGGTGCTTTAAATTGCTTTGTGTGGATGAGTAAGCACAGTTTGTATGTCACCCTGGTGAGAAAACCTGAGTCCATGCTGGCTCTGCAGGGTCAGCAGGGTGAAAAGACAGGGTTGTTGGAAGATCAGACTGTGCTTGCTGTGAATAGGTCTTTTCAGAGGGAGTGTGCCCTTCCACAGATAGAAAATTCTTCATAATAAAGTAGAAAAAAATGTTAGACCTATATCTAGTATAACTTTTAGTCTTGAATGAACGAAACGTTATCTAGTAGGAGAATGTCTGCAAACCCCCATGCTGACACATGCAGATGGAGTGCAATTTATAGCAAAATTGTTTAGAAAAGAAAAATGTGACAGCACCTGAACAGACAACACCAGCATCTTCGTAGTGGGCACAGTTGTGTATCCTCCATCCCGAGTGATTGCAACGGAACAGGGACATCTCATTCCCATTGCACCTCACGTTGTCCAGCAGGATGCTGCCAGAGCCTTCCCCAAAGTATGCACTTCCCATAGCTGCAATGGCCTGGCCACATCCCAGCTGCCTGCACACAACCTGGGCATTGGCAAGGTCCCAATAATCATCACAAACTGTCCCCGACTGTCCTCTGTAGTGGATCTCAACGCGACCTTCACATCGGTGCCTTCCGTTCACCAGCTGGATAGAGGGCGCTTTGGGAGAGAGGGAATCGAGCACAAAACAGTCAGACAAATAAGCTGGAAGTGACTGTAAGGAGTATTCTGTCCTCTTGCCCTATTGTTCCTAGAAGGTGCTTGCCCAGCCCAATATTAAGTGCTCGTAAGGACAGAGGTTTATTCACACCTTTTTTTCCTTCCTCTCTTCCAGATCTCAAAATCAGCTGTGTATATTTTATGCAAGATTGCTACAGTAAAGACAGAAAGCAGGCTAAGCAAAAACTATTTAAGCTAGAAAGGAAATTCCTTATTAATAAGCAAATTATAATAGGAAAGAAAAAGAGAGAAACTTAATTTCAGTATCTTGATGAAAACTAAGTAAAACTGTATTAAGAAAATAGCACTAAATTTTGTTCTTTTTGTAAACAGGAAGAAAATATCATGTTTTAAGAACACATCTCATATTTGTGTATTACTTTTACTCACTGCTGTCAAAACGTTTTATGCTAAAGAACAAAGAGACATCACAATTTGCATTGAATCCTGCTGGAATTTGGGATGCAGAGCCTGGCTTTCCTGCCCTCAGCCTGGATCTTACCCAGCAGCATGTGTGTGTAGCTCTTCAGTGTGACATACAAAGCCTCTGTTGATCTGAGTGCAGAAGGGAAATCAGAGCAGTGGCTCAAGCAGATCAACAAGACTTCAGCGACACAGCAAGATTCATCTTGGACAGCCAAGACTGTGTCTTTTCCCTAAACTTATGTTCTTGGAGCTGCTATAGTGCTGCCATATAAAAGCTGCCAGGCAGATAGCTTACAATTCATGGGATATTGTGCACTGCTGAAAGATGAGAATCAGGGCACTACTTTGCTTAAGATGATGTCCAAATTAGGCCCAATGAATCCTTCAGATAAACCATAGAATTCTAGAGAAGACAATATTCATTCTGTGTTTCTCTCCATGGTTTAAATAATTTAACTGGAATTTCTCTTCTTCCTCTAGAACTTTCAGAAGAATTTTAAGGACATAGAGTCCACACATCAAATCCAAATCCTATTGTTTTTAAGAGTAATTTTACTGGGAGGAGAATTCCACCAAATGTTCTACAGAACAGACAATAGTCTCAACAGGATGATAAAGATTTCAATAGGAATTCAGTGGCTTTATTTCTTATATACAATTGAAGTGTAACTAGATTTCTGAAATAAAGAAATAACCTATCATGTATACATCTGATTACTGCATTCATTCAGGTAAAACACATCTGCTTTTCACTTTGATTTGGCTTGTTTAGACGTTCTGCTGTGAGCAGCATGAAAATCCTGATTTCAGAGAATCATTTTTGGTGAAGACATTTATTAAAGTCTTTACCACCAAGTGTAAGTGGGCAAACAAATGCAGTAACTTAAGATTTGCAGGATTTACACTTTGGAATTCAAAACATGCACACTGCACTTGTTATACTTTACTTTTCTGCCAAATGCATATTTGCCTTGTTATTAAACACTAAGTCATCCAAAGCAAAACAAATCTCAGGAGTTAACAGCTCCATGATTTCTTCACTGCATCTGATTCTTTGTTATTGGACTAGAAGTACAGTCAAGACGGTGGCCAAACTAAATTTGTCCTGATTTGTATGCATTTCAAAGGGAGAAGCTACAAAAGTGCCCCTTGACTTATATCTGACTTGTTTCTTCAAATATCTACTTGAACTTGCACATTTTTGAACCCCGCTCACAGGAGTTCTGAGAGGTGACACAGCAAACCTGGCAAAAAGTCAGCGCGGGATTAGGAAATTAAAGCTGATCTAAACCAGGTTAATTTGCTTTCATTCAAGGTCTGTCATCACTGTGAGAGCACAGCCATCAGCTGGGGATGCAGTGAGATGGATTGAGTCCTGCCTCACACTTCAAAGGTATCAAAAAGACAAAAGCCTGTGATTATACAGCGAATACTCTGCTCCAGGAGACAGAGGCAGAGAGCAGAGAGAAGAAGTAGAGCAGCCAAAGGGAGATGGCTCATCAGCAGGCAAGCAGAGGACAGATGGAGAAAATTGGATGAGGTGGACGATGGCAACATAAATTCTCATCACAATGTTTAAATGGCTGGTTAGAAAAATCATCAGCAATTATTCTAAGATATACACAGAACTATTTAGCTCAAAAAAGTCATCCAAGTCGCTTAGGAGATAGAAACTAATCATGTAAGGAAGAATTCAATGACCATAAAAAAGTTCAACTAAAAGCATTTCTTCACTATCATTATTTTTACGTGTCCATCATTCACTCACAGTGCTAGAGTAAGAAAACTTTACTTCTTGTTATATTTCATTAAATTGTACGTAAGACCAAGAAGAACCAAATAGTACAAGGAATATCAAATATATAGCATACGTATGCATGCATACACTATGAAATAAATATACACTGAAAATAAATAAATAAATAAATAAATAAATAAATAATCATTTTCATTATTCTTAGATCAAATTTCTGGAACTGGAGGAATGACTCGTTCATAACATGCTCACAGACACAATTCTCGAAATGATGCAAGGTACTAAGACGAGTATGACCCTGTGACAGCAAAATGAACTCCACTAAACGGTTCAAAATGTTCTTACCATTCACTCTGATGATTAGTTCATCATTTTAGTAGAACAAAACTGTGCTATCTCTTTCCTCTAATTCCTGCTTTAGCCTTTTTCCCAAACTGATACAAACATGAATCTAAATTCTGTTCGCGGAATCAACAGAGAGGCTCCAAGCATTAAATATTTTTATGCACCCTGGAACAAGTCTAAGTGGTTTTTACCTGTTTTGGCCTCTAGAACTGCTGGACCCAACAGGAGTAGCCATGTCAAAATCATAGTGGTACCCATCTTACCAAGTACTATTGATAGAAAGGACCTCAGAATATATAGTCTCTATTTCTGAAGGGGAGTGGCTCTACAGGTTTCTTTCTCTACAGGTGAACAATAAAACAACCACAGTCCTCTGATCTGAAACAAACATATGTTTGATTTGTTATTTAATATTTTGTAACTTCCTGGGTTTTGCAAAACGATAACATCTCAAGAGTAACATTTTCCATTGCCTGGAAGGAAATATTTATGCTACCGTAGGTTTCACAATCATCTCATTGTACAAAAAAAAAAGAATGAGCTCCTATCCAAAGACACCTTTCAATTCCAGCTGATGACTCTCAGTATTTTTCTTTCATGGTGAGATTCCTTGACAGGTTATCAGGATGGTAGCAGAATCTTGAAACTTAAATGGGCTTCTTCCAGTAAAACAGTAAAAGAGACTTACCAACCAGTGTGGCAAGTCTTCCTGGGGAATCAAGAATGTCCTAAAGCTTCAGCATACTTTAAATAAAATAAGATTAGACCTGCTGGCCCTGTTGAAGTGTGACTGGGGAGTTTCTGAAGAATCTTGCAATTGAAGTCAACACCTCCACCCCCGCAATTAACCCATTCTTTTTTGGCACATTTAATTTCAAGCCAAAACTCAAGTCAAAATTCACTGAGAGGCTGTTAGATTGGAAAAAAGTGTCAGAGGATCGGGGTCAGCTGATAACCTTTTGTGCAAACACTGTTGAAAAATGAGTAGATTTTGCACAGAGTTAAGAAAATTACATAGCTTGAAACTTAATTTTATTCTAAAACTTCCTTTGATGCTTTGAACCAACAAATGAGGGGGAAAATGTTCAGATTTATATTAAGAAAATTTCTTAATATATTCCTTGTTTAATTTTGCATAGTGACAGTTACAGCTGTGTCATTCTTTGAAGAATGAATTCAAAGCTTTTCTACAACATGAAATAATGCTTAATTCTCGTTCACCACTCTCTTGTCAGAGTGATTACTTTCCTCTCTTTCTGTGTTTTAACAACTTAAGAAGAAAAAGCGGATGAGCATCCCTACCCTGAAGAGCCAGAATGTTGTTTTCTATCTCATTCCTACTTCTACAGCCATCATTTCTTGGATGGAATTATCCCAAGTTAAAATTGCTGCCATATACAAATTTATTGCTTCCAGGGACAGTCATAAAGGATGAAAACCAAAGGCCAAAGGAGAAAGAGAATGACCTAGAAGGCCTTTCCACAAAGGCCAACATTATTGGAATGGAAGAAGGAAGTGTAAAATACCAGAGGCCAAAGATAACGTTGGAAGGCTTGAGAGTGAACATTGAGAAGGGTAAATATGTTTCTTCTTTATCCAAACAACCACATTTGCCCATGAATGAGGATATGTACACAACACCTGGTATTCACTATTCATATTCTTCTGGTTTTGACACCTTGACAAGAAGCAGAAAAAATCCAGTATATTTGACTGGCCAATCAAACACTGCAATCAGTGAAGCCACAGTAAGGGATGGATCGCAATCCTTCTCCAAACTCCTGCAATGACTGAAAAGGGCGAGGAGGAAGGGGAACACAAAAGGGATTCCCAGGTGGTTCAAGTATAAAAAAACATCTTAAGCTGCCCAGGTAAAAGAACAAAATTGATTAATTCTTCAGTACACTCTTCTCTAATGAATTCTTAATTTAAAAAATCTAGATATTTCTAGACATCTTGATTATCAGACAATCTCTGCATGTAGAAATAGATAAATAGTATGTTCCAATTAATTAATTAATTAATACAAATACTGTACAGCTCATGTTTTCATCCTTCCCATCGGTTAGATTAGTCTCTTGCAGTAAGAGACTTTTGTTCTTAAGGTCTTCTGGCAGCTTGAGGTATTTCTCAGCACATCACTCTGTGAAAGAAGCTTTGAAAACACTTTCTCTTCTGCTGACTGAAAGTGTGGACACTTTGCAGACATACTGGTTTTGGTGAGATCAAAATGAAAACCACTGAAAGAACAAACAAGATTAATCCTCTTTCGCATGTGACTACAAGAAAGTATCTGCACTGAAAAAAGGGTAGCCACAGACTTCTGAAAAAAAGGAAAGGTATTATGATGCAGTTAGGCAGTTTAGTCTAATTTGTTGGGTTACTTGATGACCTCTTGGGCTCTGTTGCCCGTGTCATGTGAAGTATGTCATTGCAAACTGACCTGCATTTGGTCGGTGGTGAGGATGCAAGTGGATCAGAACTGTCCACCACTGGATTTATTGGTAGATCTCCCTAATGGGGGAGGACAGGAGGTGGGAAGGAAGGTCTGTGGCAGAGACATCATTCACCAGGCACATGTACTTTAGAGCATGACCCTTTCCTCGTCATCAAATGCAGCCCTTGCTGTGCTGAGCAGATCACTGGACTCCCCTGAGTCTGGACAATCTCTGGTCCGCACAACAGGACTAGATGAAAGGCAGGTCACCCTTCTGAGTTGTTCTGCCCTTCTAAGGTGCCTGTAGGCAAAGGGGAGGTGAGGACCCTCAATCTTTGTTGCTCATGTGTGGAAAACAAAACTCACACTTTCTGTGTGTAGTGCCAGTCCCTACGTGTATGATCCCATCTCCACAACATGGAGGCCTGCCTGGAATCACGAGGAGAAGGCAGCTTGAAGGAAGAAATGGTACAGGCTGTAATGATGATTCCTGTCGGAGCTGCCCACATCCTCCTTGTCAAGTCAGGATGTCACCCTGGAGTACAGCACACCTTCCTTACACGTCACTACTTTGACTCTGGCTCACCTCACACTTAGTACATTACGCTGTTCCAAATGAACTCACCTCTTTCATAGCTGGCTGGAAAACAGGAAAGTCTGAAGAAGGGCATTTCTCAATCAACACCAATGACCTTTACACCTGTATTAAGTAGCTTCTTCTGAAGGAATTCTTCCTTTTTTTATTGTTTTTATTTTGTTTTTGCGTGGGAATAAGAGACAGGACACACTTCCTTATGGTAATTTACGTACATTCTCTCCCTCCCCCACTTCACAGGTGTAGAAATGTGTGAGAGCAAGAGCAGCAATTGTTGCTTAGAAAAGTCACTTTGTCAGAAGCCACATTTTCCAGTCTGATAATGTGTTAGCTGTGAGTTCATACACAGAAGTGCTTTGTTTGCAAGTACACAAAAAAGAGTATTACTCAAAAAAACCCCCCACTTTCTTTCATGCTTTTATTACACTTTTATCTAACAGATTTGATCATATTCATCCTCCACACAAAATCTTATAAATGGCCTACATCTACTCAGAGAAACATGTACTTGGGAAGATCCATACTCCCCCAAAGTAAGGATCACTGTACAGGAATACTTCTTTATGTGCATTTTTGCTTGTGGCTCATTATTGAGAATTTTTTTACTCCAAAGTAACATTTTTGTTAGACTACACGGAGTATCTCATGGTGTTACACAGGTGTTTTATGTGCATATCAGCAATGGCCAAAGTTCTTTCTCAAGTCACCTAAATCAGACAGACATTCAACCAAGAGTTCAACTGAGATGCCCTGAAATGTCCAGCATTGAAGGTGCTTATTTGAATGCTAGGGTGGAAGAATCAACATTTCTTTACACCTTAGGTATGTTTGGACTAGGTTTTAAAATCAGACTGCTTTAAAAGTTCAGTTCATGGTAACATCAGGTGTAATCTTGATACAAGACATTCTTCTGACAAGAAGACAGTGGAACAGTCAAGTAAGAGTTGCCCTTCACGCTGATTGCAAAACCAAACAATGAAGCAGATGGCTGGTGAAAATATCCTTCCACCTGCAAGCCTGGGTTGCCTCTCACATTATCTGGTAGGGGATGGGTTTCTGCAGCTCACGCTTCAAAAGAAATCCTCCCACGGTGAGAAGAGCAGCAGCTCCCAGCACCACGGCGGTGACAGCCAGGGGGACGTGGGAGCTGCCAGCAGGCTCTGAGCTCAGAGACTCCCCTCTTGCCTGCATGTCAGAGTCAAGCTCTGTGCACGAAAGAGAAAGAGAAAGGCTTACATTTGTTTTCCTGACCTGGTTAATCTCAGAGGTAATTAGGCAAAGAGAACTTGAATTACAATGCTGTAATCTGGGTTAGATCAGAAACCAAGTTGTTCTACTGCAAATGATTCTGTGGCCCCACAGAAAGGTTATGGCAAAAAATTAAAGAGTATCTGAGAGTCTGTAATTATTACACTCAAAGACCACAAGATGCCATTTTCTGACAGTGGGAACAATGGATACAAGGCATTGGGAAGCAACGGGTCAAAGGGGACTTAGAGATTGATTATTAATGAATGAGAGACATGCCAGTCAGGCACAGACACCTTAGGAATATTAATATAAATCCAGCAGGGAGATGAGTTATAGCTCATCCCTCTTTCTGCAGAACTGAATCAATTGCCATTGTGCAGAACAAAGAATGGATCTAAACCATGACAGAAAGGAAACAGCTTGTAAAACTAATATAAATATTATATTAAAAAAATATAAAAATAATCCCCATAAGAATCATAGCAGAATTGCAAATAAATGGGTTTCATGTCTGAACTGCAATGCAAACACACAGTAACACACAGAGTCTTACGTTATTTAAGGTATTTAAACTTACCAGTGTTCCTGTTCTCAGCGTGAGCTTCCCGGAGCTGCACAGGTCCAACAACAACATTCACTCGTCCCTGGGAAGAACCCGAATTCCTCTTGAGCCTACTCACACAGCCCTGATAGCAGCGGGAGGAGTAGTCTCTCTGCCTGCACACCACCAGCTCGCACTGCAGGTAAACCGACGGGTATTGCTCAGCAAAGGAGAAAGCGTTAAACGAAAACCGAGCGATGCTGCCGCGCGGTGAGGAGTGCAAAGAGTAGGTAGGGTCCTTAACACACCTGGGGAGACATTAAACCAGCAGGTTAGCCGTTGACCAATAGCTTCTCTTGAATAGCAGCACTACTGCATTACCTTTGTGCAGTAAATTTCAGAGTTAAATATAAAATCAGAAATCGGAAGGATTAAGAAAAGCGTGTGCTTTTAGCAAGAGGAGGGATTATTAAATGCACGCAGCACAGAAATTCCGTAGCTCAAC